CATATTCAAACTCAAATGTACCACCATTGTTAATATATCTCCCGATATAATCGGATGATTCAGTGTGCTCGTGATTATTGATTCTAATCAATTTCTTTTTGTAGACTTTACTAAGAGCTAAAATCATACTAGTCTTTCCGGTGCTTGTTTCTCCTTGAAGTAAGATGGGAATATTAATTTCTATAGCCAAAACCACATCATCTAAAAGAATTCTAACTTTATCTGTTAAAATAAATTGATCAGACTTTAACTCAAAATGCTTTTGAATAGGGCAAGAAAAATCAAAAATTTTGTTAAATAGTGACAAAGCAAGAGATCGAGAATGAAGATCAAGTTGAGTAAAAAAAAGAAGATTAAAAGCCTTAAAAATTGCTAAAATCTCCATTTCTTTATGATTCTCATGTGTTGTTATTTTTCTGTAATTAATCTGAAGTTGATTGATCAATCTAAGTGCTCTACAAAGTGTCCGACCTGAAATTACCGGGTCAATAGAATTTGTATATATTTTCAGCTGGATATTTCGTTTAAATTGATAAAAATACTCTGCAATTTCATCAGTAAAAGAAATCAGATTTCTTGAAATAACAGTTACAACTTTACTAATATCTGATAATTTTAGCGAAATATCATAAAAAATCAACTTATTAAAAACTTGAGATTCGAATTTCTTTTTCCCAAAATCTCCAAATGGATTCATACATGCAAATACACGAAAGTTCGGATGAACATTGACAATCTGATTAGTTTCTGGAACAATAAGTATTTTTTTATCGATCAGTGATTCTATTAGATTGAGCGTCTCTTCACTTGCCAAATTTATTTCATCTAATAATATCCAGTATCCCTTTCTCATAGCATCAAAAAGAATACCTTCTCGATAAACAAATGGAAGTTTGTTTGATATCAACAATTTGATCTGATCTGTTTCTTTCTGTAAATCCTGGACTGTAGATTCAATGAATTCTGGATGCATATTAATGTCTTTTTTAATGTCAACCAATTTACTGGATAAATATTCTAATGCTTTAATCTTTGAAATTCCATTTGGAATTGGATTTTTCTGGCCTGTAACATGGTCTAATTTTTTAAAAACTTGCTTAATTTTTTGATCAAAGTTTACAGATTGATATCCACCAACTAAATCAACTCCATCAAAATCGCTTGAAATATTAACGACTTTGAGGTATGATGTCATTCCAAAAAAAAATTCTGAATGTTCACTCAAATGTTGTATTAGAGCAGTTTTCCCAGATCCCGTTTCACCAACAAGTAAAGATGGTATAGAGTTTGATACATTTAACACTAAAGCCTTTAAAGTGGCCTCAACAGTGCTTGTTTGAGCTAATTTGCAGTCTGGAAATACCATGCTTATACTATTCAGGTATAAGTTTTCAAATAACTGACTATTTCCATGCTTTAAATAAATGTTTGTTATACTCTGATAGAGAAGATATCTACCACTTTCTGAATTGCTGAAATTTTTTAAAATATTCATTAATCTACAAAACATTTTAAAGTGACCTGAACAGATAAAATCTTCACATTCACAAAATACTGAGTTTTGTACTTTTGTAGAATCCGATAACTTCTTACATCCTTCTATATACTTTAAACATATGCCATCACAATCCAAGCCTCGGTCAGCTGCACATTTTTCAGATCTATTCTTTTCAATATACTCTAAAATAGGCTGTGCCTGACCAAGTATGCTATAAGCACTTTCTATTTTGAATTGAATAGGGCCAATGAATTTAATATTCCTAAATTCAAATGCTTCTTCGCATGTAAAAAAGAGTCGAAATTTTGGATTTGCTGATATAAATTTGCTGTTATTTGTGACAAAAGTACGTTCAGAAATAATCGGAATTAGATATTGCAATAAATTGGAGTTGTATTGAATTTTCTTAAAGCAAAGATACTGCCCTTGCTCCATAGCCATTGATAATACCCCATCAATGTACTTCAGTTCATTCTCTATAACACTGTAAAATCCTCCGAGAGCTTTTGGATCAATAATTTCTCTACTGTCGTAAACTATCAACTGTGGGTATACTTGGCTTAAGAATGTTGTTTTCCCAGTATTCCCATAAACAATTACCGTGTTATCAATTTCAACATTGATCTTTAATTCATCGATTAAATCTTGTTGGAATTGGATCATTTAGGGGAGTGAACTTAATGAAAAAGAAAAAATTCAAAAATTTTTAAACATCATAATATTTTATTATAACTTTCCAACGTTTAAAAATTAAATCATAAATTAGCAAGTTTTACGTTTGATAACCATATTCTTGTTACTATCTACCATAATAATATACAAATGCACCATTACAAATTTACATTGCTATTGAAATGGATCTTTTAAAGTTTCTTGCAGACTGATTATTTTAAAATCATTAAAATTAGAGATTGCAAAAATTTTATCATATTTTTCCAAAAATTCTAAAATCTCAAATTTTTCAACAACTTTTAGCTTCAAAATCAGATTGTCCAGATCTATCGATACATTTTCCGCAACAACCTTGTATATTCTATTAAAGTAGTAGTGATAATAGTCAACTTGAGATGAATTGAAATCATTTCCAAAGTTCATTCCAGAGGGAAGAATATCCTGATCATATTCATCTTTTAAAAATATACGCTTTCTAAAAACGGAAGAAAGCTTCAAATTTGACAAATCGACTATTCCAGAATATCTTACAATTACACGATGTTCCAATAGTCTACAAGCAACTAAATCAATCATTCTAATCAAATTATGAACAGGAAAAAATTCTCTTATAGTATCAATTATTAATGGTCTTTCTTTAAAAAGTGAATCCACAAAGTATTTATATAAATTGGGATTTAACTCACTATGTTCAACCGACGGAGTTATCTGAACAGTTTCTCCAGGGAAATAATATTTTGATAGTTGCAACAGACGTTTAAGCAATAAACTTTTAAATTCTCCTTGATAGTTTTGTTTAATAATTTTGTCGCACTTTTCAATAAATCCGTCTTTTTCCAAATGACGAATTTTGGAAAAAAATATGCATCTACTCTTATAATCAAGTATTTTCTTAGAAGAATCACTGAAAAACTCCAGATATTTTTTGTTAAGATCCTCTGTTGATAAATCAATCACTTCGATACACATATCATTATCATTGAACTTGATAAATCCATTCTGACTTAACCAATTTAACTTTTCAACAAATTTGTTCGGATTAAAATAATATTGAATGGATTTTATAATATAGTCTGGAATTTTATATCTGATTTCCCCAATTGTAAAATTATTGGATTTCTCCAGTAAATCAGGCAAAATGTTTAATATTGACTGAAATTTGTTTCTGTATTCTAACGGATAAATATCTAATTCATTAATTCGGGTATATTGGTCCAGCCCAGCTAACTCTATAACACTATTCTCCTGTATAAATGGTTTGCTTTCATTGTATTTTAATTCACTCATACCAAACATTTCCGAATAATTTTTATATAAATGTTCTACAACCAGTTCTCTGAAATGTAATCGGCTTATTTTACAAATGTTTTGAAATTCTTTCATAGTCATCTTTTCAATCAATTGATAATCAAATTTAATATTTTTTAAATTTATTGATTTCAAAAATTCATATAAATACTTATAATTATGCATTGATTGAAGAGGGAAAAGATTGTCGTGGACGGTAAATGAAGCATGGTTTACAAAGTAAAACTTTAGCAACTTTTCGAAAGGGCTTTCAGTAGATTTAATATATGTTTTACACAATTGTTCTAAAATTGGATTATCTTTGCCAATACCTGGTAAATGAATAATATACCTGGTAAAGTCTTTTACATTGATCTCTAAAATGCACAAATTGGCTTTTCTAGCTGCATTCATCAAATTTTTTCGATCAAATTCATATTTATACCCTGTCATTTCCTTTAGCTCATCAATAATCCCCTTATCAAAAACAAATGCTTTATACTTTTCGGCTAATATTCGTAAAGCTTGCTGTCTATCATTTTGACTTAAATTTTCTAAATCTCCCAAATTTAAATTACCCTGCATTCTCTCAAATTTTTTAATTTTCATCAATTCGAAATTCTTTTTAGAATAGTATTTATAAATGGTTGATTTATATTCTACTTCATCAGAAATGACAATATTATCATTATTAGAGGCAATAAAATTCAATAATTTACCTGATGCTTTCGCATTCATCCCAAATTTACTACAAATCATCTTAACAGAAACCCCATTTTGAGTATCCTTAATTAATTTTTCCACAACAAAATACAAGGGTATATTTACTATTAATTCTATTTTGGTATCTAGCTTGGTACCCAAATCAGTATCAATCCTGGATCTATACACATCGTTGCCTGAAATCGTATCAAGTCCTTTATTAGTATTATCTTTTATTATATATTCATCACTAGCTAGTACACATTGCTCATCATTTACGAATAGATTTTCACAATTCTTTAACACAAAATCTTTATTATATAAATCTGTTCCCTTAATCTCAAAGATCCCACAGTATTTTATAGCTTTACTATCTCTATTTATTTTACCATCCTGTAAATCAATAAGATTCATCCTTGATCTATATTCTGACTTTGGCTTCACATATTTTACGTATGTCAATCCTTTCTTCTTCTCTTCAATAAGTAGATTATGCTTTAAAAACAACTTTGTTATATAAAAAATGTCCTTAGGCTCGATTCCATACTTTTCACGAATAGCTGCAGTATCTACTAAATTTTCAGTTCTAACAATACAATCTAGAAAGAAGTAGCATTCTGACTTTTTAAATACAAAGTTTTCTCCACATCCAAAAATTCTCCAAGCTACCGTATTCATTCTGACAACAACATCAGATATAGAAAAACTTGCATTAGTAGACATATTTAGATCATTATGAATAACTTGAAGAGTTTTATAATTATTCTGAATTTGTAAGATCTCTGAATCAAATACTAATTTCTCTGCTTCTTTAGATTTGCAATTAATTTCATCATTTATAATGGCATTGGTCATTTCAACTTGATTCAAACTTAACGTATGAAAATTCTCTCGAAGTTCAACTATTTCTTTTTTTAATACAAATTCAATCCATGGACAATCTTTCAATTGTAAAATCTCAGCTAGATTTAATGATTTTAGTGGCTTTCCAAAAAGTCCAAACTTGAATATTTTATTTTTAAGATCTTCCATTTAAAGGAGGAGGGTACAGATTTTGATTTCACGAAAAGTAATTAATATAGAGAAATATTCCATTTTATAACCATAACCAATAAAGATTGTCCAAAAATTTATAAATTAATCAAATCATGTTTATTCTGTGCTTATTAAAATTTGGAAACAGATTATATAGATATTTACAAAAGAATCCAAAAAATCAAATATATACTGATTTTATTTGAAATTAATACGGGTAAAAAATCATACTATTGTTTTTCCATCATGTTATACAGCCTTTTTCATTTAGTATCTGATTAGAAATCAACAACTAGCAACATTGTAAAACTTAAATAATTCAATTATTCCTGAATAATAGCTTTAATAAATGAAACTATTACTAGATAATCCATTATTCAACTTTAAATCTCATCAACAATATTTTTACATAAAATATTCATTTAGTTATCATATCCAGTATATAATAGTATAAGCTTTTATAAATAGAGGCATTATCCATTATTATTAGATAACTGAAATGATTTGGTGGTTAATATCAATTTTAAGCAAAAGAACAATGTGTAATCCTTATAAATCTAAGAAAATAAAATATCAAACAATGGGATTTTATCTATATATTTTTTAAATTTAATCTTTTAAAACCTTGTTTAACCAATTTATTTTTATTTCAACAAGTTAATATTTTTGTTTTTTACACCCTGAATGCTCAATTTTCTTAAAGCCGATTTGACCAAATTAAAAGCAATGAAAATTGATTCTAGTTTTGTTTCTTCTACTATTAAACCTCAGCATGGAACAACAACGCTGGCTTTTACTTTCAAGGAAGGGATGATTGTTGCTGTAGACTCTCGTGCTACATCCGGTTCATACATTGCTTCACAAACAGTCAATAAAGTTATAGAAATAAACAAGTATCTTTTAGGAACAATGGCAGGAGGAGCAGCCGATTGCTTTTATTGGGAAAAGAAGATGGGGCTTTATGCCAAGAAGTTTGAGTTAGAAAATGGAAAGCGTATTTCTGCAGCACATGCTTCCTTATATCTTTCAAATTGTATTAATCAATATAAAGGATACGGATTATCTATGGGAACAATGATATGTGGCTATAATGCAGATGGGCCCAAAATATATATGGTATCTGATGATGGATCTAGGATTGAGAATAATTTATTTAGTGTAGGAAGTGGTTCTACCATTGCACATGGTGTTCTTTCAACCAGATATCATTTTGATATGGCTAAAGAGGAGGCTATTCAGTTGGGCAAAGATGCAATTTATTGTGCTGGTCATAGAGATGCCTTTTCTGGTGGAACTGTCAATGTATATTTTATGAACGAAGAAGGCTGGGTAAAAATAGGCAGGTATGATTTTAATGAGATTAGAGATGAAAAAGAATCTTAGAGCCAATAAATTTGTAGCAGAAGTTAGCTCTATTATTCCATTGTAAATATTTTGTGCTGATATCATAGCGCTTAAAATTAATTATTTCAATATTGTAGTTTTCATAGAATTATGCTATTTCTCTTCCATTGAAGCAGAGAAAATTTAACTATGGTTAATCGTAGTCCAAGAAAGATATATTTTATTCTTTGAATTTTAAAGGCCATATATATGAAAATCCTTTTAAATCAACTTAACAAAATCCCATTTCTGAGATCAAAGGATGAAGATTTTGAAATAACTGCAAGAATAGTCTGTAAAATCTATGAGTCAATTTTAGAAACTATTGAAAACAATTCAATTCTTATTGTCAACTCAAAAAGTGGATTATGTTCAATTGCAGCCTCTTTTTTCGGTCCAAAATTTATACTAACAACATTAGAAAAATATCCAGATGAAATTACGTGGAAAAATGTTACTTCAGAGGGCTTTGTATCTGGACTTACCAATTCTCAACCCGCTAAATCTGATATTTTGGTTGGAAATTTTAATAGCTATATTAAAAAAGATGCATTTAATATAGCAATTGTAGAACCATTTTTGGAAAAAAGTCGACTTACAGATCTATCTGCAATAATTAATGCTTCCAACTGTGCAGAAATAGTTTATGGGGTTTATAAAGCTGATTATCGAGATAACCTGAAATTAAAAATTCCGAATGTAGAACTTATTGGTGAAGTAGAAATAAAAAGTCTTGGCTCTACAAACTATCATAAAAACGAAAATAAGACTTCAAAATTTGATATTATTCGAATAAAATCATTAAAATAAAATACCATTGAAAAATATTTTGTTGAGATTATTAAACCCTTCCTATATAAACATATACTATGTGGAATGACATAAGTATCATCATACCTATTAATTCTATAAGATTGAAGATAATTTTTTCAATTATAAGCAAATATCTAATAAATGAACAATTTCAAATCAAAATTTATTAATATAATTTTTTTAAATGTTCTGTGGCTTCTTCTGGGAAATGGATACCCGTCTTATAAAAGAATGTTGACTTATGATCATCTGATATTTTTTCAAACATTCTCCACATTTCATAGACTTCAATATGCTTAGCATTCGGAAATTCTTTTGAATAAACTAATGAATCGAAAATGATTTGATATCCTCTATTCTCATTGAAAATACGTCCGACATATTGATCAATTTGATCAGTTTGCAAAATAGGATACTTTTTCCAAAGAGTATCAGAGAGAATTTTTAAAAATATTGCCGACTTCGGAGAGAATTGATAGGTCAATTTTATCTCTTTTAGTTTTTTTTTCATCAAAAATAATTGCTTATCTCCCAAGATTTGACTAATAGCTTTCTCAAAGAATTTTGGTTGAATATTAAACGTTACTTCTGTTGTTTTCTCAGATAGACCTTTTCCTGCAGATAATATAAAAGGAATATTTTGCCATTCTGATACATTGACATGAACTAAAAATGCTGCAAATGTTTCTGTAGTAGATGGAACTCCTAATTCTTCAGTATATTCTTCATACTGCCCAAAAATCCCTGAATCCTCTACAATCGACATATTTTTAATAATCTCAGCTCTCCTACTAGATTCATTCAAGTTATTGGCTACAAATTTCCATAGTTCATTTTTGTCTGCTTTGGAATCTCTTTCACAAAGAATAGTTGCAATGATTTCAACTAAGTGATTTTGCATCACATCCTTCATCATTCCTGTTTTGTCAAAGAATGCCCTTCCTTCAGCTAATATACTTTCATGAAATTTCGCCTCAACCGATTTAACAGTCTGCTTACTTATAAAATTTCTCAAATTATGATTTTTAGATAAAACTTCTGGTAAAATAATGGATAAATTTTTGAGCAGATAGTGATCAATAAAGTGGATTCTGGAATCATTAAAACACGATAACGATTGAAATGATTTGAAATCTACTCCGAAAGGTTTTTCTATGCCAATAGCTTTATATCTTAATTTTGAGGTTTCATTTAATAAATCCTCATACACAGAAGGGGGAACCGAGAAATACAAAACAGTATTCTCGTCCGTTACAGGGATAAGTGATGATAAATCATGATAATGTCCTTGAAAATAAGAAATTCTTTTTAAAAAAGATTCTTCATAATCATGATACATTTTTAACTTCTCTAGATACTTCTCATCAAGTGTTGAGCGTGTGTATACAATTACTTCAATTTCTGGATCATTTAGTTTTGCAATGTTAGGTATAAGTTTCTTTATTGCTAAATCCCCACTAGCTCCAAAGATAACAATTTTACGAGTCATAGAAAAGCCAATAAAAATTGTTTAAATAAAAAACTTGAAACTTTATAATTCATAATTATTAACCAATAAAACCAGATATTCTAATTGTTGATGTACCAAATTTATTGTCATATTACTTATGGAATTATAAAAATATTAGATTGTTTATACATTAAAAATATAGCCCCAAGGCATATACCGGGATTTATAGCTCGATAACTCTCAGAGAACATTATAAATAGTTTAGGTTTAAATTATGTATTATTCTTAGTAGATTAAAAAAAATACAATATCAGAAAATACATTAACTACAATTAAAAAAATTAACTCAGTATAAAAAGTAAATTAAAAATATAATATTGAAATTTCACTCACAGCTGCAATAGTATTAAATGTTATCGCAACCTTACGTCATAAACTATGCTTTGACAATCTATGACTCCTTAATTTATTTAATGCCAATCAAATAGCTTTAATAAAAAAATTATGAGCATGATACTATGGTCAGTATCAATGGATGTTCATAATATGATTTGGTTAGTTAAATTTAATGTACCATTTAGAACTAATATAACAAGATAATTATAAATTTTTAATCATATTTTATTCTATCTGACCTACTTTCTGTTTCACTTAAATTTTCTAATGATTAAGGAGCAAAGTAATTTTCATTGGAGATATTGGTTGATTAAAAATTCAGAAGTTAGTTAGATTTTGAAATGGATATCATTTAATAAAATTTATTCTAGGAATATCCGTCCCCTTCTTATTTAATGGATTATATCTTCTGTAAACATGAGATTTTTGAAGAGTTATTCTGTGTTGAATGTGGAATTCAGATGGGGACTGATATACTGATAGACGAAACAAAACCTTTTCGTCAAATGGATAAGTGTAGCAGTAAATACACGATAAAACAAGAGAATAGTAAGTATCATAAATTGATTGACAAAATCTTAATTCCATTAAAATTAGAATCGTATAAGAATCAGCTTTTCTTTGAACTAACTCATCAAGTTATTGTCGGGAAAGTCTCCGAACAAAATCGAGTTATTCTTGTTTTGTATAACTTGTTGATTCGAGATGGATTTCCGATTTCTATTGAAGACTTGCTGCCATTTTGCACAGTTTCCAAACATAGACTGCTAAAGCTTCACAGAAATTCTTTTGAATTTGTCAAAAGACCTGATGAATTTTATATTCAAATTTTTCAGAGAGCAAGTTATTTTGTAAGAAATATTGGAGAATCAATTCAGACAAAAGAAAATGAAGGAAGGATAATACAACAAACAGTCAAAAAGGATATAATTATTGATCCAAAGGATATTGAGCATTTTATAACATATTCTAGAGCATATCCTACATGTAATCCCTTTTCTTTGTGTGTAGTTCTAATGATAAATTCACGTAAACTGCCGATTTCCAGAACTACATTTCAGAATAAACCATTACTTAAATTTAAACTACAAAATATAAGAAGAATGATATCAAACAATGAAACTTTGAATTGTAAAGTTAAGCAGAAAAGCAGATTCCAGAATTGAGAGGCTTTTCTATTCTATTAAGCCATAATTTTATAATACACTACACAATAATAGGTATAAGTAAATGTGACATCTTTTTAAATAATAGCAATTTTATTCAAAATTATGTTTCTTAGTAACTATTTGTAACTCAGAGTATTTTATATAGTATACACCGCCCTCTCTATTTTTTTCTTCTGGATGGCAAAATATTTCTTTTTTCTTAGGTTCAATTCTCTTATTAAAATGTTTACAATCGAACACAATACTTTCAAACTCACCTCCCTCACCGCAAAAGTTTATTTCGTATGGATGAGAGATATCAGATAAATATTCATAAATTTCTCTCAGATTCATTCCAACACATTCTCTCTTAAAAATCGGACTTGCAATTTTAATAATCCTTGCATCAATTTTCTGATCAATCATCGATTTGAGCAATTCTCTTTGATCTAACCCCCAGAGTGGAGCTAAACTCTTTAAAGATAGACGTAAGCAAATATCTTCAACTCGATTCTTTTGATAAGTAGATAAAATAGCTCCGGAAGATATTCCTCCAAATACAACCAGAGAAAGAGTAGACTTAATAGCATTATATAGATCTTCGACTTCATCTTCTCTTGTGAAAGTATATTCAAGATCCTTATTAATGGCCTGGCACCTAGTTTTATAAACAAAAAGTGGTACATCCATTGTTTCACCAAAGAGATTTACAACTTCTGAACCCACTGTCTGATACATATATGAGTCAGAGTATTCTTCGATAGAATCCATATAAATCAGTGCAACAAGCTCATTTCCCTCATCAATCAGCTTACAAATAGCAAAAACACTATCCTTTCCACCACTTACCAAAGCTGCAAATTTCATGGGATAGAGGTATTTATTTTTTGTTACCCATGGAAAAGATAAGTGAGCTAATTCGAAATGGTCATTTGGAAAAGGCTAAAGAGGATATATTGAATTTGGAAAGTCGGTTATCCGAAGAATGTTCTAAAAGAAATCAAGGAGTTCTGATGGATCAAATAATAAAAATGAAAAATGAATATATTTCTGCTAAAAGGCTCATTTTTGATATAAAGACGACCATTTCAAACAAAGAAGTATTTGAAATTGACAAATCTCAAATAACTCCATCTAAATTACATAAAATTAATTTATCCAATACAACTCTTTTGCTTGGAGAATTCGAGGAAATAAAAATTGAAAATTCCAAAATGCTTTTAATCAAATCAGCAACAGCTCTGCATTCTATTTTGTTGATAAATGTTAAAAATTCTATCATTAACTGTAAAGCTCAACAAATTCGATTAATTAGCTGCCATGGT